TATATATATATATATATATATATATATATATATATATATATATATATATATATATATATATATATATATATATATATATATATATATATATATATATATACACATATATATATTTACACACATATATATATATATATATATATATATACACGTATATATATTTACACATATATATGGGGGGGTTGTACGGGTGTGAGTGTCAGATATACTATTATACTGCCAAATATATATCAACATTTTACTTTCATATATATCAAATTTTATCATACACACACATACATACTGAAAGATAGATATAGATAGATAGATAGATAGATAGATAGATAGATAGATAGATAGATAGATAGATAGATAGATAGATAGATATGGTCTGACTGAGATAGATAGATTTCAAACGAACTCAGATAGATAGATATGGAAAGACTGAGATAGATAGATAGATAGATAGATAGATAGATAGATAGATAGATAGATATGGAAAGACTGAGATAGATAGATATGGAAAGACTGAGATAGATAGATAGATAGATAGATAGATAGATAGATAGATAGATAGAATGATAGATAGATAGATATGGAAAGACTAAGATAGATAGATAGATAGATAGATAGATAGATAGATAGATAGATAGATAGATAGATAGATAGATATGGAAAGACTAAGATAGATAGATAGATAGATAGATAGATAGATAGATAGATAGATAGATAGATATGGAAAGACTGAGATAGATAGATAGATATGGAAAGACTGAGATAGATAGATAGATTGTACAATGAATATATACATGATGGTTTTCTGAAAAGATTCCGATCATGAAACACTTCTCAAAATCTAACCAAATATCAGAATATCCGCCGAGGACTTTCCAGCACTATCTCATGGATGCGTGTGAGTATGTACGCGCGATCTTTGTACAAATTTATCTGTATGTAAAATCTGTACTCTCCCGTCGTTTTCGACGTATGAGTCTACAAACCGAACAGCCATTACTATCCACACAAATGTTTTGAAATTATAATGGCGAAGACTTGTGACGAACCAACTACACTTTCTTAGGAAGAGCCGAATACAGAAATCTGTTGCACACAGTACGCCACAATGTCACCAAACGACCCTCCTCAGATTTTGAATGAAGAGTTGTCCTTCTCCTAGACCGGTTGCCACCCAAGGACCCAGTCTGTCCTGCAATTTACCCATAGCTGCTGCGGGTGGGAAGAAGATTCATTTGCACGTAAAAGAATTTAACTCGACTGGAATTCGAACTCGGCTCTCCTATTTTTCAATCTGAGCCGCTATCCATTACTGTGACTTATATAAAATGAGATGATAATTAAAACATATGTATGTGTATGAAAGTGCATAATTGATACATATATATATATATATATATATATATATATATATATATATATATATATATATATATATATATACATACAAACCAAGTATCTGTCTGTATATGTGTGTGTGTGTGTGCATACATATATATGTGTGTGTGTTTTGTATGTATATATATATATATATATATATATGTATGTGTGTGTGTGTGTGTGCGGGTGTGTGTTTATATATGTATGTTTATATGTATCTATATACAATCTGTGTATGTACACATGAATGCGTAACTAAGCGTGTAGATTTACGGATACATGTGACTCACGTTGTCAGTTTAAGTACAAACGGTGGAACGTGCTTTACGTGTGTGTGTGTGTGTGTGTGTGTGTGTGTGTGTGTGTGTGTGTGTGTGTGTGTGTGTGTGGTCGTCGGCGAAAAGTATTCGTATAAAGAAAAAATCCGATAAGGTACTATGTTTAGTATAGGGAATGCAGGTCGTTTAGTGAAAAGGGAAAAACGAAAAGGTGGAGAAGTACGGAAAGAGAGAAAATGTGTAGAAAAGAAAGGAGAGAGAATGAACAAAACAGGAATGGAATAAAAGAAAGAAAGAAAGAAAGAAAGAAAGAAAGAAAGAAAGAAAGAAAGAAAGAAAATGGAAAACAGTAAAAGAAAGAAATAAAACTGAAAAGAAAGAGAAAGGAAGTAAAATGAAAAACAGTAGAAGAAAAGAAGAGAAAAGGTAAGGAAAAAAAACTAAAAGAGAAAACTGAAAAGAAAAAGAAAATAGAATAGGAAACAGCAAAAAAAAGAAAGAAATTTGAAAAGAAAAAAGAAATAACATGAAAAACAATAAAAGAAAAAATAAAGAAAGAACTTGAATATTGCGAGATGAAGAAAGAAAGAAAGAAAGAAAGAAAGAAAAGAAAGAAAGAAAGAAAGAAAGAAAGAAAGAAAGAAAGAAAGAAAGAAAGAAAGAAAGAAAGAAAATGCAAGGAAAAGGAAAATAAAAAAGAGAGGAAACTAAAGGAAAGAAAACTGATAAGATAAAAACAAATGAAGGAAAATGGAAAACATTAAAAGAAAGAGAGAAAGAAAAAAACCAACAAACTGAGCAGAAAAAGGAAGGAAAGAAAAATGAAACCGGAATAGAAAGAAAGAAAGAAAGAAAGAAAGAAAGAAAGAACGGGAGTGAATAGAAAGAAAGAAAGAAAGAAAGAAAGAAAGAAAGAAAGAAAGAAAGAAAGAAAGAAAGAAAGAAAGAAAGAAAGAAAGGGAGTGAATAGAAAGAAAAAAGAAAGGATGAATAGAAAAAAAGAAAGAAAGAAAGAAAAGAAAAGAAAGAAAGAAAAGAAAGAAAGAAAGAAAGAAAGAAAGAAAGAAAGAACGGGGGTGAATAGAAAGAAAGAAAGAAAGAAAGAAAGAAAGAAAGAAAGAAAGAGAGAAAGAGATTGAGTGGGATAAATGTAACCCCCCCAAAAAAAAAAAAAAAAGAGGTTTCCTGCTGGTCAGTTGTTTGCATGAGTGACGATGATGTTGATCACAGCTGATTTGACACATAATTCGTCTCACTCCATGATACGCACTTCGTTTTAGTGCTTGTAAAATCCCACATGTAAGCAGGATATAAGATATCAGAAAAATAATATCATTTGATTCTAATTAGGAAATTAGAGAGAAAAAAAATGAAAGAAAAAAATAATCCAAAGAGAACGAGAGAACAAATGGTGAGACTTCGATGAGAGGGAGGTTGGTGTTCAGAGAGGGAGGGGGTAAGAAAGAGACGAAGAAGAATTAAAAAAAGAAAAAAGAAGATGAAAGAGAGAAGGTTCATGTGGAGAAAAAGAAGAAAAGCGGGATAAAAGTAGAAAAATATAAACAGGTTGAGAGAAAAAGAAATGAATGAGAAGTTAAAGTGAGAGAATAACACTGAGAGAGAGAGAGAGAGAGTAAAGAAAAATAGAAACGAAAAGCTTAAAGTTGATGAGGGACTGAAAAAACGATAGAAAATGAGAAGATAGTGAAAGAAAGAAAGAAAAAGAAAGAAAGAAAGAAAGAAAGAAAGAAAGAAAGAAAGAAAGAAAGAAAAGAAAACAAAAGAAAAAGGAAAGAAAATGGAAAAGAAAGAAAGAAAAAATGGGAAGCGAAAAAAAGGAAAGAAAATCAGAAATAAGAAAACAGTAAAAGAAAGAGAAATAAGAAAAAAGTCAAGTAGTTGGAAAATGTTCAATTAAGAGAGCAAGTACAAAAGTGATCGTAAAAATGAAAGAAGAAGAAAGAGAAGGAATAAAATGGTCAGGAAAAGAGGAAGAAGAGCAGACTACAAAAATAAAGAAGAAGAAGAAGAAGAAGAAGAAGAAGAATGAAGGGATTATGAAAAATAATAGAAAAACTAAAAGAACAAGAAGATGCCGATGAAGGAAGGAAATAAAAAGACGAAAGAAACAAAATAATTTCTTTTTTTTTCCTTTTTCCGTTTTGCCTCTTTCTCTCTCTTCTCTCTCTTTCTCTCTCTCTTTCTCTCTCTCTCTTTCTTCTCTCCTCTCTCTCTCTCTCTTTCCCCAATAACTGCGTCTTTTCTTTCTTCTATTTAGCAATCTATTGTTTTTTTTGTGTGTGCTTCTTTTTTCTTTCTCATTCGTTCTTTCCCATTCAGTCTTGTCTTTTTTTTTACTCTTTCTTTTTTCTTCCCTTTTTTTCATTTCTCTCTATCTTTTCCAGTCTCGTTCTTTTCCCTGTCTTTTTTCTTGTCTTCTTTCCTTTCCCCTTTTTTTTTTTTAACTTTCTTTCTTTTTCAGTCAGTAATGTTTCCCTTTTTCTTTTACCTTCCTTTTTTCTTCCCCTTTCTCTTTTCTTTTCCCTTTTTTTTTATTTTTCCACGTTCTGTTGTTTTTTTTTTGTTTTTTTTGTTTTTTTTTTTGAAAACGAAAGTAAAAAAAAATAAAAGAAAGAAATATAAAATATGAAGCGTGTTAACTGAACGAAGGGGGAAGTAACGTATAAAGGAATAAATAAATAAAAATTACAAATAAAATTGAGGATTAACTTTTGTGGGCGTTGGGTGAAAAAAAAACGATGAAGAGCTTCGACGATAGAAAATATTTGGAAAAGAGAAACAAGATGAATTAAAGAAATCGCGACAAAAAAATGGGAGGAACGCGGCTTGAGAAGAAACCAAATACGACGTGGGAGGGGGAGGAAGAGGAAGAGGGATAGGGATAAGTATTACAGGAGAAGAAAAAGGGGCAGAGAAAAGCGAGGGAGGGGGATTTCAAAAGAGAAAGAAAAGGCGAAAAAGCGTTTGAATGAAAAAAGAAAGAGAAGAGGTAAGGAATTGCTAATAGAAGGATAACACAGCAGGTGGTGGGGGAAGAGTGACAGAATTAAAGAGAGGAAAAGTGAAACAGAGGGAAAAAAAAAGAATTGTTAAAAAGGGGAAGGAAGGGAGAGCATTACAAAGAGGAGGAAGTGAAAGAAAAATTACGGGAACGCGGCACGAATAGAGAATACGGAATTGTCAAAAGAGAAAAAGGAAGAGGTATTGACTACAGAAGAAAGAAAGAAAGAAAGAAAGAAAGAAAGAAAGAAAGAAAGAAAGCATTTGAATGAAGAGAAAACAAGAGAGAAAGAGGGGGAAAGGAACAGAAAATGAATGAGAGAATTATCAGGAAGAAAAAGAAATAGCGATAAACAAATCGGAAAGAGGAAAAGGAGTTGACAGAGAATTATAGAGAGAAGGAAGGAACGGAGGAAAAACCAATTGGAAATTTAAAAAAAAAATAGGGACGGATAGAGGAAGAAACAAAGAAAAGGAAAGGGTAAAAGAACTACGAAGGTGGGGGTGGTAAACGGTAAAAATAAAGATGAAGTTAGAAAGAGGAAAATAAATTGGAGAGTGAAAAATTAAAAATAGTGACAAGAAAACGAGAAAAGCGAAAAAATCGATTGGAAACATAGAGAACGGAAGAGAGGAGAATAGTATTTCCGAGTAAAAAAAAAGAAAGAAAGAAAGAAAGAAAGAAAGAAAGAAAGAAAGAAAGAAAGAAAGAACAGAATAAATGCAAGGAGCAGCGGGAACGTGCTGAATGGAGAAGAAAATAGTAAAAAAAAAAAGGACAAGAAGAATGAAGAAAGAATTTTAACACGGAGAAAAAGAAAGAGTGAGAGAATTACAGGGAGGAAAAAGAAAACAGAAAAAAAAGGGGAATTGGAAAGAGAGAAAACGAAATCAGAACATCTATTTTTCTTCTATTTTATAATCAAAAACAAACAAAAACAGAAGAAATATTAAAAGGATGAAGAAGACGTGGCATGAAGAAAGAGAGGAGAGAAAGAAGGACAGCTTAAAAACAGGTTGAGAAAAAGAAGACAAAAGTGAAATTAAGAAAGTGTGTGAGATAGAGAGAAAAGAGAACGAAAGAAAAAAGAAAAAAAAATAGATGCGAAAAACTTTGAAGTTGAAGAGAGCCTGAATGAAACATCGAATCCCCCCCCAAACCGCCACACCTAAAAAAAAAAAAAAAAACGAATTGGAGAAAATAAATAACATTAAAAAAAAACAGAAAAAAAGGAGATCATAACAAGAAGAGGAGGCGAAAGGGAAACAGATAAGAAATAACGATAGAGTAGAAAAGAAAGAAAAAAAAACTTTGAGAAAGAAAAGGGAGAGGAGTGGCGAAAAGAACGGAATGAGCAGAGGGGGGGTGGGACCCACAGCGGCCTCTATAAAAACCAGAGGTTGCACAGAATTAAGCCAGTCGTAAAAGATATAAACTGGAGAATAGAAAATCCGTAATTCTCAAGCCTATGTCTCATCACCGCATATATAACGATATATCAAGCAGAATTGTCATTCTAAAAACACAGCAACAACAGAAAAGACACCTTAAAAATCCAGAAAAAAAAACAGAAAAACTATTTAACAACGAAGTCAAGTATTTATTATAAGGACAAAACATCTACTCAAAACAGAAAACAAACGGCCAACTAATTATTTAAAAAAAAAAAACAGAAAGAAAACATACTGAAACAAATAGAATAAACAAAACAAACAAAAAGAGGGATTTAAATATAGAAAGATCCACCAATTTTTGACGCATCCAACATAACACCATCTGTTCGTTAATTTTATTCTTTTTTTATTTTCCACTGGCTTAAAAATCAAATGACAACCCTCAGTTCTTACCACCTGATAAAGTTTCACATGGGTCTCAACCACGTTTACTACCAATTTTACACTACGACGACGACGACGGAAAAAAAAACTTGAACGAAAAAGTGCTAATCCTGTTTTATTGCTAAAAGCCGGCACAAGCGCGCACGTTATTTAGAAAACTTTATCTTTTCTTTCCTTTCTTTTTTTTAGCGGGAAGATTTTTATATTTTCTTTTTTTTTTTAATTTATTTTATTTATTATTTACCTGACGAGCTTCTTTTTTTTATAATTTAAATACATATTTTAAAATAGTATTATTTTGGGGTTTTTTTTTTTTTTTTCGGTTTTTAACGACGTTTTAAAACAAAAAAAAATAAAACCCCGAAAGATACAAACAAGGTATAAAAGAGAAAGTAGTAGAGAAAGAAAGAGAAAGAGAGAGGGTGGGACCTAAAAAGAAGAAAGAAGAGGAAGGATTTAATTTTTTTATTGTTATTATTATTATTATTTATTTTAATTTAAAAAAAAAATTAAGTGAAGAATTACTCCGTAAAGTAAAACGGGAGACAAACTAAAAAAGTATAAATAAAAGAGAGACAAATAAATTAAAAAAATAAAAATAAAAAAAGAGAAAAAAAAAACAAACAAACAAACAAAAGGAATGAAAGAAAGAAATAGACGCTAAAAAACGAAATCATAAAATTCACGGACCAATTTTCTTTTGGAAAAAGGGGGGAAAAGCGTTAACAGAAGTAAAAAAAAAAAAACGTTCATTTTAAACAACAAAAACGCAAATAATAGAAAGAAAAATATATTTACACAGAAACAAAACGCATATCTACATTTAATTTAATTTATATATCTATTTATTTTCTTACCGTTTTTACGAAGTCCTGTCGCCGAGAGTTAATTTATTTGTTGTTGGGTAAAAAAACTTACTGAAGTTTAGCAATAAAATAAATATTACTATGTACAACATAAGAATATAAAAAAAAGTGAGTGGTTTTATTTAAATTGTTCATATTTTAACAATTTATTTGCTTTTATTCGGTTGCAAAAAGAAATTGAAAAAATTCGTAAACAGAAAGAATACACAACTCACAGAAGATAGCAACCTACAAATTCTCTGTCGAAAAATATCACTAAAAAAACATTTTAGTTTTTGCATTTATCTTCTAATTCTTCCTTTATTTTTTTTATTTTTTATTTTTATTCCAATACCAACTTTCTTTAGTTCCACTAAAACATCATATATGTTCAACATAAGCACCACAAACGATAGTCCGGCTTCTTACCCGACGACAACGATAACAGAATCGACTGACGTCATATCCCCAAAAGACGACCCTTTCACACACATTTTCACTACCAGTGACAACGGGCCCATAGGAGGAGGGGTCAGCATGGAAACTTTGGTTGAATCTCCGCACACACTTTCCATTCTTTTCTCGGCACTGGACTTAGCCACAGTGCTAATCTTCTTGGGGACTCTCGGGCTTCTATTGAGCGTGTGGAGACAGCGACCACACGGTCTACCCCCAGGCCCGCCACGTATCCCAATTATCGGTAGCACGGCCCTGTTCTCCAGTTCTGACCCGGCGCAGGTGCTTGTGCAGCTGAGACGTCGCTACGGGGACATCTTCAGCCTATATGTGGGTAACAAGATGCTCATCTTTCTCAATGGGTACCATAACTTTCGCGAAGCATTCATCACGAACCCGGACCTTTTTACAAATAAAGCAAGCACATTCATTACGGAAAAACTCGGCCAAGGAAAAGGTAAGTGAGGTCGATTTATTTATCTTTTTTTATTTTTCTGTATTTATTTATTCTTTATCGTTCGGGGTGAAGAGTTCTACACTTCTGCTATCTCTCCCCACCTCTCTTTCTCGCTGTTTCTTTTTTTTTCTTTTTTTTATTCTCCTTTTCTTTTCTTTTTTGTTTTTCTTTTTTCACTGTTTTCCTTTTCTTTCTTTTTTGTTTTTCTTTTTTCTTTCGGTTCTCTCAATCTCGCTCGCGTGTCACGGATTTTGCAAGCATGAAAATGTACTGGAAGCATACATCATTTCTTTCTTTCTCTTCATTTTTCATTTATTTTGTTCTTATTTTTTATCGTTCGGGGTGAAATCGTTCACGTACTTTCAACTCCCCCCCTCTCTCCCTCTCTCTCTCTCCCTCTCTCTCTCTCCCTCTCTCTCTTTCACTCTTTCTGCCTCTCTCTCTCTCTCTCTCTCTCTCTCTGCTTCTTTTTTCTTTTGTTTGCTTTCTTTTTTCGTTTCCTTTCTCTTGTTTTTATTTTTGTTTCAGTTCTCTCAATCCCGATTATCACAGATTTTACAAGCATGCAAATGTACTGGCAACAGCAAACAAAAATATATTTTTCTTTCATTCTCTCTTTCTTGCTTGCTTTCTTTCTTTCTTTCTTTCTTTCTTTCTTTCTTCTCATCGCTCTCATTTTTTATTATTTTGATCATTTTACCAACTTTTCGAATTTTCAATTTTTACTCTCAAACAGCACAGATTTTACAAGTATTACAAATGTATTTGGCGCAACAGGCACAAGAAGAGTATAAATAAGCTTATTTCTTTTTTGCTCAATTTTTCTCATCTTTTTAATGTTTTTGTCTACTTCTTTTCATTTCTTTTTTCTTTTCGCTTTTACTATGAGATATCACAAATTTTACAAGTACTCAAACGTTCTACACGCAACGGTTACGTTTACTTTATAACCAACTGCTTGATTTTTTTTTTCTTTTTCCCTTTCTTTTTTTATTCGTTTCTTTATTTCTTTCATTTCATTTTTTCCCCTCTCACTCTCTAAGAATTCATTTTCACTCGAGGCTACCGCATATTTTACAAGCATAAAAAATATATTTAGTTAGAGACGCAGCAGGCACGAGACTACAGAGGACTTTCCCCAATGCCTAATTGACAAAGAAAGAAAGAAAAAAGAAAGAAAGAAAGAAAGAAAGAAAGAAGCGACATGCGTCTCTTTCCCCAATGACTCACAAAAAACAAAACAAAACAAAAAAAAAACACACTACAGCAAGCGCGTGTCTATTTTAAAATAATGCAAAGAAAACGAAAACGAGGACTCGATAATTTTGCCACTTAATTTATTTATTTATTTATTTCGTAACGGAAGATTAATCATCCCCGTAAGACTTCCGTAAAAATATTTTGTTTCTGTTTTAGAAGGGGAAAACCCATGACAGTATGAATTTTTATTTTCTTTAATTTCTATTATTTTTTTTTTTTTTTTTTACTTTCAAGTCTATAACTTCAGAGTTGAAAAGTTATATTTATTTTAAGGGAATTAACAAAAAAAAGGGTACCAACTTGATCAGAAGGTAATATTAGGTAATACTACCCTCCCCCTGCAACAATCAGAAAACAAAATAATCAAAGATACACGTGTATGCTAAACTTTCGTAAAATTTCTCGCCTATAGACAGATATTATGAGATAGATAGATAGATTGATATTAAGAGAATGAGATAGATATTGACAGAATGAGATAGATAGATATTGACAGAATTAGATAGATAGATAGATAGATAGATAGATAGATAGATAGATAGATAGATATTGACAGAATGAGATAGATAGATAGATAGATATTGACAGAATGAGATAGATAGATAGATATTGACAGAATGAGATAAATAGATAGATATTGACAGAATGAGATAGATAGATAGATAGATATTGACAGAATGAGATAGATAGATAGATATTGACAGAATGAGATAGATAGATAGATATTGACAGAATGAGATAAATAGATAGATAGATAGATAGATAGATAGATATTGACAGAATGAGATAGATAGATAGATATTGACAGAATGAGATAGATAGATAGATAGATAGATATTGACAGAATGAGATAGATAGATGATAGATAGATAGATGATAGATATTGACAGAATGAGATAGATAGATAGAATATTGACAGAATGAGATAGATAGATAGATAGATATTGACAGAATGAGATAGATAGATAGATAGATAGATGAAGATTGACAGAATTGACAGAATAGATAGATAGATAGATATTGACAGAATGAGATAGATAGATAGATAGATAGATAGATATTGACAGAATGAGATAGATAGATAGATAGATAGATAGACAGAATGAGATAGATAGATAGATATTGACAGAATGAGATAGATAGATAGATAGATAGATATTGACAGAATGAGATATAGATAGATAGATAGATAGATATTGACAGAATGAGATATAGATAGATAGATAGATAGATATTGACAGAATGAGATAGAGATAGATAGATAGATAGATAGATAGATAGATATTGACAGAATGAGATAGATAGATATTAAGAGATAGATTTTAACAGAATTAGATAGATAAATATTAACAGAGATAGCTAGATATTATAATTAACAGAATTAGATAGTTAGCTAGATATTAACAGAATGAGATCGATATTGACAGAATGAGATAGATATGAGTAGAAGAAGATAGAGAGATAGTGTGGACATCAACACTGCATAGTGATTGTCAGTTTCACGCTTCAATGAGACCTTCAGACCAAAACACCTGCTCTTGAAGCATGAAATTGCTTGTCATCATGCAGTGTTGATTCTTTATGTCCGCAATGTCTATATCTATAAGCGCCCCATTCCGATATTTTAGCACTCTTCCTCAATAAATATAACAGATTTTGCGCGCGCGCACACACACACACACAAAAAACACGCACACACAAAACACAAAACACACACACACACACAAAACACACAAAACACACACACACAAAACACACACACACACACACACACACACACACACACACACACACACACAGAGACACATGTACGTATATAATAACATGGGAGGTTTTTGATCATACATTGATTTCTGGGAAAGCAGATGTTGACAATGTTTGTTTTTCCTTCTTTCCTTCCTTTATTTGGTTATTTTTTTTTTTTTTTTTCGTGAATCAAGAAAGAGTTTATAAATAAAAAAAAATCTTCTTCACGACAAATGAGGCCATTTTTCCTTTATTTTAGTTCCTTGTTTGGTTTTTGTTTTTGTTTTTTGGGAGGAGGGGTTACGCAATAACGCGTCTTTAAAATAGCGGACTGGCTCGGTGATTAGCTTGCATAATCGAAAAAAAAAAAAAACATCCATGTCTTCTTTTTTTCACACTAAATAATTTTGTCATTTTTTATTTTCTTTTATTAATCCTATTTATTTTTTTTTTCATTGAACGATGTCATAAATAAAGCCTTTCCTGGCCCGAAAGAATGTTTGATTTTTGTCAGTTTGATTTGGTTTAGCGGCATATCAACACCTCTATGGGTTATTTAATGCCTGAATCTAAATATATAGTTTTATGGTTTCAAATACAGATAAAATGGATTGTATAAAATGTATTGTTGTTAATTATTATTTCAAAATGCATTATTGGTAAATATACTATAAATATGTATCGTTGGTTATTTATATATATATATATATATATATATATATATATATATATATATATATATATATATATGCTGGTATTTTTATTATAAAAATGTATTTTGTAGTTTCATAGTGTTTTTGGGAGGGTTCACTATTTGCCCAACGCTGGGGTCCTTACAGGTCCTACAACCCCCGGCTTAATGACGTCCCTATAGTCTGTTTCATGCGAAACGCAATCGTCGCCTCTGGGTGTTGACTTCAATGCCTACATTTATACCCTATCCCTGATATTGAGCACTTTAACGTATAAATGTAGCATACCATGAAACTATATTTTATTTATATATATATATATATATATATATATATATATATATATATATATATATATATATTATAAATTGATTTATTTAAAATATGTTTTTTTTTCGCTACACAGTTCTAACCATGTTTCAAAAATGGAAGCTAAAAGCTACGAATTTAATTTTGTAATTAAATTAAAGACATTAGTTCCATTTCATCCTCAAGCGAATTTTGGAGTATATCTTACTGTTCTTTCTTTTATTTATTATATATATATATATATATATATATATATATATATATATATATATATATATATATATATATATATATATGGCTCTATTTCGGACAATGCATCAGTGTCTTGTTTACAAGAAATGATTTACCTGACCTCCCCACTAAGGCAGGGTGTGACACAAGGGGTCTTCTTTATGTAGAATGCCCATACGTGTGCATAGGGATCAATAGCACTTTTCACGCATGCATCGATATTACAACGACTTTACTAATGAGGAACGTCCTACAGCAAGGTTGGAATCCCCGAGACCCGAGCGCCTTTTCCCACCTCAAATGACGAGAGAACAGATACTACGATTTGATCCCGGTCAAAATGCCGATAATAGGTATTTATTTACTAAACGTAAGCCAGTAAGCCACAAATGATAATAATAATAATAATAATGGGGGAGCTAGTGTGGATCGAACTCAGTGCACAGTGTTTTTAGCCGATAGTGTAATATAGATAGTGATAGTGTATAATGTAAGAGAGCCGTTATCAGAAAAGGCCGTTGTCACTGTGTTAAAAAAAAAATTGTTTAAATATAGAGAAAGAAATCCATATAGGCAAAGCATGTACGTGGGCGACCGCGTTTTCTAAAGTTTTTTGTTCGTCCCCTAATTTTGTCGAATATGTGGGCGTTATCGGCCTCCCCTCCCCTGTTTCTTATCTGAATGTTTGTGTATGTATGGCAGTTACGCGTTCTTCTTTTAAAATAAATATCAGCAGTATCTGTATGTCTGATCTCAGGTCCTGGTGGTGATTTTTTTGATCGTATCATTTTTCTGGAGAATGGTGATGGCGGAATAGTTATAATGATGGCATATCTTCTGTTACATGGCTACACTAATATATAGATCAGGGGTTCCCAACCTTTTTTTTACGTCATCGCATGAAAAAATCTTCCATCGTCCACCTGTATAGTAAATATTCAAAAGCATGTCAGTCAGCTATGTGCTATACGGGATACACGCTTAGGCAATCATGTATCTTTCGATACACGACTGACGAGTCAGATTTATTTCCTCAGTAGGTTGCCATTTCTTTCTGCGGTAGACCAGTTGTCATCCAAGGCTATAGAACCCGGTCTGCCCTGCTATTTACCCATAGCTGGGGGGGGGGAAGAAGAAGATTCATACCTTTCAAAGGGTCAGTCAGTTATTTGCCATGGTGATACGCTTAGGGGCAATCCATGACGAGTCAGATTTATTTCCTCAGTAGGTTGCCATTTCTTTCTGCGGTAGACCAGTTGTCATCCAAGGCTATAGAACCCGGTCTGCCCTGCTATTTTACCCATAGCTGGGGGAGAAGAAGAAGATTCATACCTTTCCAAAGGGTCAGTCAGTTATTTGCCATGCGTGATACACGCTTAGGCAATCATGTATCTTTCGATACACGACTGACGAGTCAGATTTATTTCCTCAGTAGGTTGCCATTTCTTACTGCTGTAGACCAGTTGCCATTCAAGGCTATAGAACTCAGTCTGTGCTGCTATTTACTCATAGCTGGGGGGGGGAAGAAGAGTATTCGTACCTTTGCCAAGGGTATTAGCACGTAAGTGAATGTAATGCATTCGACTGGAATTCGAACTCGGCTCTCCGATTCCTCAACCCATTACTCTACCGTGCTTCCTCCAAAAGCATATAGTGATGTGTAAAATTGTGTTTTGAAGGGCACTTTTTCTTCTTTGATAAATTCGAGATGGCCAGTGTGATAAAAAAAATACTTTTTTTGCAGGGGTATTTATATCTTATCTAGGAATGTGACCCATTTATTCCCATTCCGCCTCCTGTCATATTATTATTATTATTATTATTATTATTATACAGGTTTTTGCGAAACTTCTTTGAATATCTTTTTCGAGTTGCATATATTGAAATACATTTTTAATACTCAAAATCCTATGTCGCCCACCAAAATTTCCAATCAGCCACCATTTTCTCTTCAGTTGCTCATCGCCCAACCAACAAATGAAATCGCCCACTGGTGGGCGATATCGCCAAGGCTGGAAAACCATGATATACAGCAAAAGGTAATAACATATGGTCCCTAGCAAAATCGGTGGATACTACCCCCGAAATGGTGCGATGGCTTGCCTGTCTCCCCGGACAGTTACAGGAGTTAATATATACTGCAACTATGCTGAGGGGAGCTTAGTTACAGTTTCTGGGTGATGGCGCTTAATCTGGCGTGATCAGGAAGTGAACAAGCCAAACACACAGTGAACATCGAACACGTTACAAAATTTTGCTTAGGTTAGTAAAAGATCATACGTAATCAAGGCCGTTGCGTACTACCTGATTGGAGGTCCCAGGCAGTGCTGTGTCACCTTCACTATCTTATCAACATTTGCTTTTTTGTCCTTCTATATTTATATATGCTGTAGCATACCTACGGACGAGAATGGGTAAGTTCCCATTCACATAAATACAGTAGTAAATACTGTATGTTGGTCTACAGTTGGAGATACGTCTCCAGTTGTGCTGGTCAAACTCTCTGCCTCCGGGCAGAGAGGATACCCAGACGAGGCTATATCGAAGAGCAGTCTCGTCTCGGAAAACAGCTACCAGGGACCTAAGATTACAAATGGCATCATGACACTTTCCACTGACAAAAAAAAAAAAAAAAAAATTACATAGATAAAGCCCTTCGTAAAGTGTGGGCTGTACTTGTCAGAACAATTTTTTGTATCTCCTTGAGGCATGGACTTCCAGGAATCCCTTCAATTAGTCTACTGCAATCTTTTCCAACCAGTCCTAGGGCTCCAACTACAACAGGGATTGTTGATGTTCCCATGTGCCACATTTTCGAGATTTCTATTTCAAGGTCCTTGTATTTTGACAGCTTTTTGAATATCTTCAAAGATATATTGCAGTCAGCAGGGACTGCCATATCAATAAGGAGGCACTTTTTTTGTTTGTGATCTTTAATAACAATATCTGGACGGTTGGCTTTGATTGTTCTGTCAGTGTGTATTGTGTAGTCTCATAGAATTGTAACATGTCCTATCTTCGTAACCGGGTCTGGGTGGTGTTTATACCATTTTCTTTCAGTTTCCTTCCCGTAGAAGTTGCAGATTTTCCGGTGCAGATATTTGCCCACTCTGTCATGTCGGGTTTTATATTCAGTGGGTGCCAACATCGTGCAACCTGATACAAGATGATCAATCGCTTCTGGATATTTATCACAGAATCTGCATTTGGGGCTAACACAATATTTTAGTATATGTGCTTGATAATTCCTAGTTAGCAAGCATTGGTCCTGTGCAGCAAGGATAAAACCTTCAGTTACAGCTTTCAACCCTGCACTACGTAGCCACTGATGGGTACGGGATTATTATTATTTTTATTATTATTATTATTATTATTCCTTTG